AAAGCCTGAAAACTCCCCCCCCCCCCCCCCCCCCCCCCCAAAAAAAAAAAAAATCCAGCTACTCAACAATGAGCAACAAATTACAAAACGAAACAAATTAACACAAAAACAGATTGATGAGTTTTAGAGAGAGAAGCGGGAATACCTACCTGATCGAAGCTGGTGGCAGAGAGCTATAATTCGCGTTAATTTGCAGGCCCGTTTGGGACTTACATTTTAGTAAAAAAAAAAAAAAAAAAAAAAAAAAAAAAAAAAAAAATTCAAAATGTTATCATTTTAGTCAAAAAGTCAACCATTCATATATAAAAAGTCAATTTTTTTTTTTTTTCTACTTTTTGCACATCTTTTTGTAATTAGTCAAAAAATCATTCCTAAACATATAAATTTTTTTTACTTACTTTTTAACTAAATAACTAAAAAAATTACTAAATTACCCTATTCCGAAACGAGGCGGTAGTGAAAGAATCGATAAATAGAAGGAAGAAAGCTGTAAAGGCGGTATCCAGAAGGGTCGAGAAGCTGCGGAGAAGATAGGCTGTTTCTTAACCGTTGGATCTATAATTTTGTTTTTTTTTTTTTATTTGATGATATTATTTTCTAGTTAATGTGCGGTTCATAATACTAGTTGTTGTTGACCACTGATCAGTAATGCTAGAAATTTAAAGAATTTATTAAAAATTTGAAAAATGCTAAGACTCCAGTGGGGTCATTGGGAGTCGTGCGTGTAGATCCGTGATTGGTCCAAATTTATTTATTTATTTATTTATTTATTTATTTTTTTGTTTCAGCGAATGGCAGCGCCCTAAAAATTTATTAAGGTCTGATATGGGTAAAGTCTCTATGTTCCCATTTATTTGGGGTTATAAGGGGAAACTGGGATTGACAGTGAAATGAGACTTACTATATGAGGTGTTTGTTTTGAGAAATAGGAATGAGACTTTCTAATCTCTTGGTATTTAGGATAGATCTTGGAAGGGATACTAAGATGAAGGAGGTGGAGATGGTATTACAAAAATAGTCTTAGGGACTAGATATTTTTTTATTTTTTACATGTTGGGCATTTTTTTAACATTAATGTTCAATTTTTTGTATTTTTTGTTAATTAAAAATCATTGTTTTATTTGTTTTATTTTTTTTTTGATTTTTTTTTATTTTTTACATGTTAGGCATTTTTAAAAATATTAATGTTTAATATTTTTGTATTTGTTTTATTATTTTATATTTATTTCACATAAAAATAATTTAAACAATCCTTATATTAATAACTATCAATCAAACAAGCATAATTTTACTTAATTCTCTCACTATTAATCCTCACTATTAATCCTTTCGTTATGAATCATTTTATTCTACCTCTGCAAACAAATGAGGCGCAGGGGTCTTCCATCCATATAAGATATTTACTAAAACTTTAATAGAAATTTTGAAATTTTAAATATTTTTTCTAATCTCAATCATCAGAATTGACACGCGGAGGTGTTATAGGTCATATGAGTTTGCATTTTGTAGCTCTACCAAATCATACGATGAAACGTGGTACTGTGTGTAGTGAATAGAAAAATGCTTCAGAACTCGAAATTCTTGAGGCTTGAGTGGCCCGAATTCAAAACGATGTCATTTTGAATTTTTTTTTTCCTTTCGTTTAGTTACGAATGATAACGTTGGAGCCTTGTGGGGCAACGTGTATTTTTTTGTAATGAAAAGTTAAGAATATTTGGGATTTGGGAAAAGTGATGGAAGGTGGAGTTTATTTCTAACTTATTTTAGATTTTAACTTAGGCCCCGTTTGGGGACTTATCTTTTTAGTCAAAAAGTCAAAATGTTATCATTTTAGTCAAAAAGTCAACAATTCATATTAAAAAGTCAAAATTTTTTTTTTTTTCCTACTTTTTGCACATCTTTTTGTAATTAGTCAAAAAATCATTCCAAACATATAGATTTTTTTTATTTACTTTTTAGCTAAATAACTAAAAAATTACTAAATTAGCCTATTCCCAAACGAGGCGGTAGTGAAAGAATCGATAAATAGAGGGAATAAAGGCTGTAAAGGCGGTATCCAGAAGGGTCGAGAAGCTGCGGAGAAGATAGGCTGTTTCTTAACCGTTGGATCTATAATTTTGTTTTTTTTTTTATTTGATGATATTATTTTCTAGTTAATGTGCGGTTCATAATACTAGTTGTTGTTGACCACTGATCAGTAATGCTAGAAATTTAAAGAATTTATTAAAAATTTGAAAAATGCCTAAGACTCCAGTGGGGTCATTGGGAGTCGTGCGTGTAGATCCGTGATTGGTCCAAATTTATTTATTTATTTATTTATTTATTTATTTTTTTGTTTCAGCGAATGGCAGCGCCCTAAAAATTTTATTAAGGTCTGATATGGGTATAAGTCTCTATGTTCCCATTTATTTGGGGTTATAAGGGGAAACTGGGATTGACAGTGAAATGAGACTTACTATATGAGGTGTTTGTTTTGAGAAATAGGAATGAGACTTTCTAATCTCTTGGTATTAGGATAGATCTTGGAAGGGATACTAAGATGAAGGAGGTGGAGATGGTATTACAAAAATAGTCTTAGGGACTAGATATTTTTTTATTTTTTACATGTTGGGCATTTTTTTTAACATTAATGTTCAATTTTTTGTATTTTTTGTTAATTAAAAATCATTGTTTTATTTGTTTTATTTTTTTTTTGATTTTTTTTTTATTTTTTTACATGTTAGGCATTTTTTAAAAAATATTAATGTTTAATATTTTTGTATTTGTTTTATTATTTTATATTTATTTCACATAAAAATAATTTAACAATCCTTATATTAATAACTATCATCAAAACAAGCATAATTTTACTTAATTCTCTCACTATTAATCCCTCACTATTAATCCTTTCATTATGAATCATTTTTATTCTACCTCTGCAAACAAATGAGGTGCAGGGGTCTTCCATCCATATAAGATATTTACTAAAAACTTTAATAGAAATTTTGAAATTTTAAATATTTTTTCTAATCTCAATCATCAGAATTGACACGCGGAGGTGTTATAGGTCATATGAGTTTGCATTTTGTAGCTCTACCAAATCATATGATGAAACGTGGTACTGTGTGTAGTGAATAGAAAAATGCTTCAGAACTCGAAATTCTTGAGGCTTGAGTGGCCCGAATTCAAAACGATGTCATTTTGAATTTTTTTTTTCCCTTTCGTTTATTTGTCAAACAGAGGGAGGGAGGAAGAGAGAGAAAAAAGAGGAAGATAAAAGAAAGGAAAAGAGAAGAAATAGAGAAGAGGGAAGGGAGAGCAGATCTTCTCACGTCGTTGCCGTCGTCGCCGCCGCCTCTTCCTCTTCCGTCATTGCTGCGACTACTACTGTCGCCGTTACACCACCTCCGTCGGCGCCCTCTCTCTTCTTCTCTTCTCTTTTTCTATATATATATATATATATGTGTGTGTGTGTTTGTGTGTGTGTGTTTCATGGATTTGGCTTTTGATTTTTTAGATTTGTATATGTGTGTGTGTGTGTGTTTCATGGATTTGTGTGTTTGATTTGTATTGGTTTTGATTTTTGGGTTTGAATCTCTTTGCTCTATCTCTTTCCTCTCCTCTTCTTCTTTCTTCTTCCTTCTTCTCTTGCCAGTCATGAAAAGGAAGAAGAAAAGGAAAAAAAGAAGAAAAGAAACTAAAGCGATGTTGTTTTGAGATTTCAGGCCACTCGAGCCTCTAATTTTTCGAGCTACCTAACGGGACTGGTAGTGAATAATACTTTGAAAAATGCTACTACCAATTGTTTTATTAAATATTTTATCAAATATCTGATGTAAATATAAAATCTATATTATATGAGTTTCACATTCATTAAAACATTTAAATCCTTAGCATAATAACTCTAATACTTTTTGCCCCGGCCATTTACACGATCGGAAGCCCATATTGGCAGATTGGTCGAGCTCAAGCCCATGTGCTTGATTCGAATATTGATCTGTTGGGCTTTCTTAATCAAAACTACATAGTAATTTGATAATATATAGTAAATGTCAGTTTTGTAAAATAATTATTATATTATTAATGTTTTTATTTAAAAATAAAATAAAATACTAAGTTATATCATTTTATACGTTTGTATGCAATTTATTATTATTTTTTTGGTATTATTAAAAAAACAATTTTACTTCTCATATGGGCGCGTCTTACATAGCTAATTTTAGGTAAAAAAATTATGGTGTACCTGTTAAAATAGCTTATAGATTACAACTTAACAGATTATAGATTATGACTTTAATCAGAAGTTGTTAATCTGTTTGGTGTAGCTGTTGGATTATAGATTTAAGTTGCTGAGTAGTGTTTGTTAAATAAGCTGTGAAATAGCTTTTTCAATTAATTTTTATTTTTTGTTTGTCTACATTTCTCATAAAAAATAATAATAATCTATAGTCCATTTGAGTCTTTTTCTATTTTTAAAAAAATAAAAAATAAAAAAATTTAAGAGTATAACCATAAATTAACATGTTCACAGCAGAAGTTGATAATCAGAAACAAGGGGTGAGCAGCTTCTCAGAATCAGTTTTTTTGAGTTAAAATAAGGGCAAATTACATATACACCCCTCGAGGTTTGGCTAAATTACAGATACCCCCTGAGGTTTCGGAAATTACATCCCGCCCCCTGAGGTTTGTATTTTTATAACAATTTGCCCCCTGAGGTTTATATTTCATAACAAATTACCCCCTAATTTCTTAAGCAAATATAGCATTCAGGGGGGAATTCGTAATTTCTCAAACCTCAGGGGGGCATCTGTAATTTAGCCAAACCTCAAGGGGTGTATATGTAATTTGCCCATAAAATAAGCTGTTAGAATCAGAAGCTGTTTGAAATAAGTTTAACCAAACAGTCCAAAATAACTTTTTCAAAATTAAAAACCATAAGTTGACTCTGAAAAGTTCAAACAAATACCCCCTATATCCCATGGAATTTTATTTGCTTAGATTTTTTCATAAAAATATAATCCTTTATGTATTTCGTGTGACTTTGGGATACCAAATGTCAATTGTCAAGCCAATTATAAGGTTCCGTGGGTTCGAAATATAAACTTTATTGAGAATGTCTAACATCAGCCAACTCATGCACCGTTAGCAGCCACTACAAAAAAGTTAAATTTGTTTTAATTTTGTTGTCTTTGTTTTTTTTTTTAATTTCTTTAAAGTTTGTATCAAACAAATTGCTAAGATGTATTTAAAACGAAAAAATTATTGGGAGAATTGCTCAACAGTGTAATAGAATAAAAAAAATATAAATTTGACGGGATCCACTATGTTTGTGTAATTTTTATTTTGTTCCATTATTAAGTGATATTTCAAAAAAATATTATGAAATTTTAAAAAATTAACTAAAAAAATTAGTTAGACTTTTTTAATTATTAATTATTTTTGGCTTTCTAGTTTAGTACTATTTAAAAAGTTAAAAAAATATTAAAAATAGAAAAAATCAACAAAAAGGGTTGGTAATAAAACATTTGTAACACCCAATCTCAAATATTTATGTTCAATAAAATACCACTTATAAATGGGTCCAAGTGCAACTTCTTCTTCTTCTTCTTTTCTTATTATTTTTTTTTTTATTTTGATTTTTATTAATAAGCAAGTCCAAGTCCAACTTTCTTTTCATTTATACTGAGGTCAGGTTTGGTAATTACCTTAGATTTGGGATTAATTTTATTTATTTATTTATTGAGCTTTTTAATTTTTAATTTTTTTACATTTTAGCTTCTATTTAATTAGTCTCTCATTTCATTTTTTATTGTCTTAAAATATTAATCCATTTTCAAAAATTAAGAAATAAAATAATATAAATTTATTATTTTGTCATTCTTTCAAATTTATTAATAACATAAAAAGTATAATTATGACAATTAATATTTTTTAAAAGAGTTATGACAGGGACCTCAAATAATTTATCAAATTTTCTACCAAATCTCTCACATGGGTGTAGAACCCGCACACATGTGGGTTTGTGTTGGTCCCACACCCATGTAAGAGTTTTGGTAAAAAATTTGGTAGATTATTTGCGGTCTATAACATTTTTCTTCTTAAAAAATGTACAGTCAAGGGTAATTTTAAAAATTTAATATTTTTAAAATGTAATGATTGTATTATCAAAAAAATTTAAATTCCTCATAAATAACTATTATTTTAGAACGAAGAGAATAACCACCATATTTGTTTCCATTTTTTGAAAACACTTTTAAGTAAATTCTACATTCTTATTTTTTCATATTTTTTTGTTTTCACTAATTTTTTTTTAATATTTTAAACAATTTTTAAAAATTTTAGATACATGTAACATAAATACACTCTAAAAGTATACTTTTTGTGAAAAAATATTTAAAAAAATTCACTAAATATAAGAAATATAAAAAAATACGAAAATTCAATATATTTTTCGTATTTTATGTATTTATTAATTTTTTTTTTCACATTTTAGATATATTTAAGTAAAATATATCTAAATAATTTTTTTTTAAAATTTTTTTGTTTTCACTAATTTTTTTTTAATATTTTAAACAATTTTTAAAAATTTTAGATACATGTAACATAAATACACTCTAAAAGTATACTTTTTGTGAAAAAATATTTAAAAAAATTCACTAAATATAAAAAAATACGAAAATTCAATATATTTTTCGTATTTTATGTATTTATTAATTTTTTTTTCACATTTTAGATATATTTAAGTAAAATATATCTAAAAAAAAATATATTAAAAATATTCACTAAACATAAAAAAAAAATCAATTTTAAAAAAATTGAAAACAAACATTTTCAATATTTTTTATTTTTTATTTGGGTTGGCAGCAAAATTGTTGGCAGTTGCAGCAGCTACAGAAGTGATGGTCATTTAGGGTTTGTTTGGCAAGAAGAGTTTGGGGTTTTTTTGGCTATTTTAGTCACAAAAGATAAAATAGGATATTTTAGTCACAAAAAACAAAACATCACATCCAACCCATAATCATTACACTCTTCGCTCACAAAAAAAGTTAAAAAAGTCAAAAAGTCAAAAAACCCTTCCCAAACTAAACTTTTTAGCCCAGGCTAAAATAACTAAAAAAATCAAAAAACCAAAAATAAACCCACTTCCCAAAGGGAGGCTTAATACAAAATTTTCCAAAACAGACGGCACGGCAAACGAAAGCCAACGGTTCCACAAGACTCGCTCCGCTGTTCACCTCCTTCCCCCACAAAGCTTTTCTGTTGGCTCAACTCTCTTCTGTTGTGACCCTATGATATACACACACACACGAAGAGAGAGAGAGAGAGAGAGCAACACTGGGCCAGCAATGGAAGAGAGATAAAAAGGGACAAAACAAAGATGGGCAAAACTTTTGGTGCGTTTACCGTGTGATAATGATCTTATCTCTTTCTCTCTCCTTTTTTGACTCCACTCTCTCTTTTCTTTTTTGTCTCTCTCGCACATTCTCCCCAATCATTCTGATACTCTCTATCTATGCGTTTATTATTGTCTTTCATTGCCCCCCCATAACTCACTTTTTACCCAGCAGACAATAAATAACACAACACGATCATTCGAAAGAGCTGTGGATATACATATATCAGATCTGATCAGGTCCTTTCATTGTCAATTGCTCAGACGTAATCGACCTGACACGAAAGGTATCCAATGCTCTGTTTTATACTTTCTCGCTCTTATAACATTTTCTATTCAACATATTTTCCGAGAAAATTCTCATTTTTGACTTGCACTTTCCCTGATTCGATCCTCGCATTTTGATTTTCGCTTTCTGTGCATTTTTATTTTTTAACCGTACAATTGAGCTTTTTTGATGCTAAACAAAAAAAAAAAAAAGGTAGATTTTTCCGAGAAAATAAATTTTATATTTTCCTGAGCTGTAACTTTCCGATGAAACAAGGTTTCCGATTCTTACATTCCCGAGAAAGTGTCAATTTTCCCGAGAAAAAAACGCATTCTGTTTTCATTGAATTGTAATTGTTTGTTAATTTTTTTTTTTTTAGGAATTAGTGGTTCGTATTGAATGGAAGGTGTCGGCGACGGTGGTAGTCGGAGGCGACAATTTCATGCTGACGAAAGGTCCGACTCGGCGAACCTTCGAGATTTTCTTCGAGTCAAAGAGGACGACGATGGCCGAAACTTGGCCGGTTTAACATTAAGCGCTGTGCTTGGTTGCGAGAATAGACCGGCTCAGCTTCAGGCGACCCGGTCTCTTCACGATATCATCCGAGACGATCCGTACGGCGGCAAAGACAGCAAGAAGAGCTGGAAGGCTTTCAAAGAGAAGCTTCGCCTCCGCCGCAACGGTTCCTGCTCCGGCGCCTCCTGGACCTCCACGGTTTCGACACCGGCCTCCGACGTCCCGATTCAGAACGCCAATCGTATGATTTCTCGGCGAAATTCGACTCGATTTGGGGATCAAACTCATCATCATCATCATCATCATCAAGAACTGTCATCGTTGAATTCAATCAACGGAGGAGAGAATCACGTGGAATTGAATTCAATGCCGAGTAACAGAGCCATGATGCTTCGCCGGAATTCGAGTCGGATTCCGTCACGCACGACCAGCCGGTACGGCGGTTCAACATCGTTCAACAATGCCGGTGAAGTTGCGGAGCTACACCGACGATTGCCATCTGGCGAAGAAGAAGAGGAGGAGGAAGGTGGAGAGGAGGGGGAGGAGGAGGAGGAGGAGGAGGTGGCGGAGGAGGACGGAGGAGAGCAGCCGGTGAGGATGTCGTTGATGGCGCTGTTGGCGGAGACGGACAGAGAAATGGGATTGGATGGAGCGAATTACATGAGTGATGATGAGGAGGAGGAAGAGGAAGTGATTGTGGGTGGAGAATACAACAATTGCTGTGTGTGTATGGTGAGGCATAAGGGTGCAGCGTTCATACCTTGTGGCCACACTTTTTGCAGGTTGTGTTCTAGGGAGCTTTGGGTTCAGAGGGGTAATTGCCCTCTCTGCAATGGCTTCATCTTGGAAATTCTTGATATCTTCTGATCCGCCATGGTCGACCATCAAGCTCTGAGATCTTGCAAACTTTTTCGTATTTGTTTTGGTGTTTTTTATTTTTAAAATTTGTTTTGGTATTTTTTATTTTTAAAAATTGTTTTGGTAAATAAGAAGTTTGTTTGTGTGATGTGCTTGACAATCACAAATCAGGGATGATAGAGTGATTTATTATGGTAGGTTGGGTTGGCCTTTGGCCCCCTTTTGTTGTATATGTAAGGTTGGTACATTTGCTGATATGCATTACAATTTGAAAATTTATAGGATAAATTACATTTATCCTATTTGGGGTTTGAGTTTAATATATATTATTTTTCACGTTTAAAAAATTACATTAATTCTTGTTATTGTAATTATTTAAACAGAATAAAAACATTAAACTCATGCATTATCTTTTTCTTTTTTTTTGTGTTTTACTTTCTCTATTTTTTTTTCTCTTTCTTTTACTTTACTTTATTTTTTAAATGTAATTTTCTCTATTTTTTTATTAGGAGTTGTTTTATTTTATATAAATAAGATTGTGAAATGAGACTATTAATTACAAGAGTAATAATATAATTTCTAGAATGTCAGGAGATTGAATGTAATTAGATCAAATCTAAAAGATATCAGTATAATTTATCCAAATTTATATTCGATGTTTTTTAGTGTATCACCTAATATTGTAAATGTAAAATATATTTTTAAATAAAAAAAAATTACATCTAATAATTACATCATTTTCTATTTTTGTAACCCATGTGGCTTAATTTGTTCCATTTATAAATAATAATAATAATAAAATACTAGTATGTAATAAATATGAAGAATCACCTACTAATGTTACCATAAAAAGTCACAAATAATGCCTATTTTGGGAAGTTGGTTTAGAGGCAACATACACACAGCAATTATTGTATTCTCATAATCAATATTTTTTTGACTCACATATGTCATGCCAACGCTCATAACCACACAATTTTGATCATAATTAATATTATATATGTCATAATCACTAATTACATATCTCATAACTAACACTTCTGGGTCATAACCAATACTCTTTGGCTTATCATCACACCACTTTTATCATAACTAATATCACATATCTCATAATTAACACTCTTTAACTCATAACAATATCACATATCTCATAATCAATCCCCACATTACTTCAATTATAACCAATATTATATATATACATATAAATACACACATATATATATATAATTTAACTAAAATTTAATAAAAAAATATGTTCAAATTCTTTAGTTACGACGTGATTTTATTTTGTTATTCTAAATCATTTTCTCAATTTTTCTTCTTTTTCTCTCCATGTTCTTTTCTTTCTTTTCTTTTGCTCTATCAATCTGTCCTCTTTTACTCTTGTTGTCTATTATATGGCTTCAAGTCATTGATTAAATTATTGAATGATTATTATTATATTTTGTTTTCTCAGTATCTTAAGAGGTCTTCATTAGTGATTTTATGATTTTTTAGTGGCTGGTTACTCATTTTATGATTGTTGTTACGAAAGTTTATATATTGATTACGATATTTATGGTTTTTGAAATTTTTTGCTTATTTTTATTGTGTCAATTAGTGTGTTGTTATATATATATATTTTTTATTGATGTTATGAAACTTTATGAATTGGTTACAACATTTGTGATGTTTAAAAATTTTGATTATTTATATTATGTCAATTAGTGGTGTAGTTACACATTTTGTAATTAATGTTACCAAATTTGGTGAGTTAGTAATGACATTTGTGATTTTAAAAAAAAAGTATTTTTGTTACGTTAATTAGTGGATAGTTAAGCAATTTGTAGTTGATATTACGAAATTTTGTAACTTGATTTCTAATAATTTCCAATAATTTTGTTATGCCAATTAGTGATGTGCTTACGAATTTTGTATTTTTGTGACTTAGATTTTACTTAATAAAAATAGAGAAATAATTTATGTTAAAAATAAATAAAAAATTTATAGTATAATTTAATAATTAATTTTATTTTGGTTGATAATTAAAATATTTTTTTTTCGACGATTTTACTTAATAAAAATAGAGAAATAATTTATGTTAAAAATAAATAAAAAATTTATAGTATAATTTAATAATTAATTTTATTATAAGACCATATTGATGAATATTTTTACTTGTAATTGTTACTAATTTTTTTTAAAAAAATTTTACCATAATTTTTTAATGTTACTAATAATTTATTTTATTATAAGACTTTCATTGCTCCTCACCTTGCTGATCGCCTCCGCTGCTGTTAGCGTTGCTAATCATCGACGTTGTCGCTGGTGTTTGCTGATCGTTGGCGCCACCGCTAGCCCTATCGGTCACTGTTGATCGATTTACTCAAGAGAAATTTATAGATTATGTAAACTACCCTTTCTAATTCAACTTTATGTTTTTTTTTTTGTTATTTCAATTCTTAATTGATTCGTGTTTTCGTGTTTACGTATATGTGTTTGTGTGTTTTTGCTTGCTTGGTGATGATTGTCATTTTGATCCATGGAAAATCCATCGAATCGATGATGGATCATATTATTGAACTACATAGTATAGGGAATTACGAGCTTTTATTGATGATGACGCCACGTCTGCTAAAAAAATTCTTATCAAGAAACTAAATTTAGGTTTTATTCAATTTTCTGTGACATTGAAGGAACAAAAATAGAAAAAAGGAGACTTCTTGGTGCAGAACCAGAAGATTCCACCCCAGGGTTTCTAAAAACATATTCTCAAATGAATAATAATTCATTCAAACTAAAAGCCTTAAAATATGCTCTAAAGAAGTGGAATTATGAGGTGTTTGGTATTGTGTAGCATAAGCTCAAAGCTACAGAGGAGGCAACTCATGCCCTTGATCTAGTTGCTGAAGATAAGGTACTATCTGCACATGAATTGGCCAGAAAGCGAGAATTAAAAGGTGAAGCTTGGCAGTTGGGTAAAATGTTGGAGAGGTTGTGGTTTCAAAAATCTAGGCTCTAATGGGCATTATTGGGTGATAGAAATACCTCTTTTTTCCATGCTATGGCCAGGTGTAGAAGCAATAGGAATGCCCTATGTTCCATTATGGTTAGTGGAATCACCATAGAAAATCCTCTAGGTATTAAAGCTCAGGTGTTAAATCATTTCAGTAACTTTTTTGCAGAACCTTGGTTGGTCAGGCCCACATTAAATGGTCCTTTTAAGGCTATTGGAGATGGCCATGAGGTAGGTTTTTTGGAGGCAGATTTTTCAGAGGAGGAAATTAAATGTGCTATCAAATCTTGTGGGGGAAACAAGGCCCCTGGGCCAGATGGTTTTAATATGAGTTTTTTTTTCCCCAGAAATGTTGGAATATAGTGAAGGAAGATGTCTTGGAATTTATGAGGGACTTTCACCAAAATGCTAAGTTGGTTAGAGGGCTGAACAGCTCCTTTATAGCTTTAATTCCAAAAATTGAGAACCCTTCTAGCCTTAATGATTATAGGCCTATCAGCTTAGTGGGTTCCCTGTACAAGATATTGGCTAAGGTACTATCAAATACGCTGAAACAGGTGTTGCCAAGGATCATTAGTGTCACGACCCAAACCCGCCCCTGTAGGTTTAGCACCGTAACCGGCCAGTAATCCGTGGATTATCAAAGGCCTCTGAACAGATTAGCAAATATTAAGGGGCTGCGGAAGTAATAATACAAAATAGACAAGGTCCAATGAGCTGTGATAACGTACATGGGACAAAACATTTCAAAACTTACTTATAGATATATAAACATGCTAGTCCAGATACACAATATTTACAAAATATTTACAGAAGTAAACTTCCCAAGATCTGACTTTACAAATAGTTACAGAGACTAGCATGAAATACAAAAACAGCCATGGCATTAGACTTCGATCGGAACCTCTTCGGGAGGTACAACAGTTGGTTGACAAAAACAGTACAAAAGGCCGTCAACTCTGGCCCTGGTCATGTGTTGGCTCACCTACATACATAATATAAACTGTGAGCGAAAGCCCAGTGAACAATAACAGAGTAAAGGGGTTATATGAATGATGTCCAGCACAAGTTAGAATCCAGCATTTAAATCAGAGCATAATTAGACTTCAAAACAGAAACAGATTCATATACATTTTCATATTCAGATTTTGCATAAGATCATACGTGGTACACCCATTAGCTATATATCAGATTGGTCCAGAGACCCACATATATAGTTGGTACCAATGACCACAAAGGTCCATAACTTGCGCGCAAGTAGCCATGGTATTGTTACCCCCAGGCAAGGGCCACGTGCAGATTGGCCGCGGTATTGTTACCCCCGGGCGAAGGCCACGTGAACTAAGGGTGCCACAAATACTTTTCAGAAAATTGGACATTCATTCATCATTAGTAAGATAGCATTTCAAAAAACAGATTATACCATACCAGTAAAAAAATACTTAGGTTAAACATAACTTTACATAGTTATTACTCACAGTGGGCCTTAAGTCAGACAGACGGAGTAAACTTGTCAAACGGTACGTGACACGTGACCTACACAACACATAACAGAGACACACTTGAAACACACGTTCTAATTGTACAAAACTTATTTCATTGGCTCTTAGTGTGTTTCTAATCTCTTACCCTCACTATAGAGTCTTAAACATGGCCTAGGAATGCCTAGGATGGAATGAGGATGCAAAGATGCACTTTAAAACACTTTTCAAAATTTTGCTGAAACAAGGGTCCCGCTCGAGCGTGGCCTTCTACGCTCGAGCGGATATGCAGACAAAAGGAATCCGCTCGAGCGTGGATTACTCTACTCGAGCAGACTGCAAGCTACAGTAAAAGTACTGGATGCACGAAATTCACGCTCGATGGGCGCTCGATACCCGCTCGAGCGTGAGACACAAGTCCTCGCTCGAGCGTGTATTACCTCACTCGAGCGGATTGTAAACACATGCAAAGTACTGGATAAATGAATTTCACGCTTGAGCGTTACCTTCTACGCTCGAGCGGAGTTCATGTATTCAGAGTGTACGCTCGAGCGTAAAGTCCTACGCTCGAGCGTGGGTCCAAAATCTAAAATTTCCAGATTGAACCTCCAAGCTCAAAACCAACTTTTAAAGCATCAATTTCGATCCTCTTGGGCTAATTTTCTGGAAAACTCTTGTAAACTCATAGTATGACATGTTTTGAAGATCAATTTGCTAAATCAACGTCCAAAGGTAGTTCAATTAAACACAATTTCACATAAAACTTCAAGAACAAAACAAGAGCTTACATGCAAGTGTTCATTTTAAATCCAATGCTCTAAAACATGACCAAATGTAAGATTGA